CCAGTCCAGCTCGTCCCTGCCTCCCTAACCTGTTCTTCCTCCCACCTCAAGCCGCACCTCCATCTCCTACCGACCAACCTCATCCCGCCCCCTTGACCTGTCCGTCCTCCCTGGACTGACCTGTCCCCTTCCTAACTCCCTACCTACACTCACCTTTCCTGGCCCCATCCCCGCCTCTTCGACCTGTTTGTTTCCTCTCCACCTATCCTTTCCTCCATCCTTCTTCTATCCGCCTCCCACTCTCTCCCTATTTATTTCAGAACCCCCTTCCCCTCCCCCTTTTCTGATGAAGGGTCTAGGCCCGAAACGTCAGCCTCTCTGCTCCTATCATGCTGCTTGGCCTGCTGTGTTCATCCAGCCCTGCACCTTGTTGACTAGGATTAGCTCATCTTCTTTTAAGAAAAGAAATAGATTTGATCACTTAGGTGAAAAATAAGCAGAATACAATTACTTTTGCTACTAAATGTGGGGAGTTGGTAGCATAGAGATAATGCTATTGGACGAGCAATCCTAAAACCCAGACTAATGTTCTGGGACATGAGTTCCCAGCTGGTGGTATTTAAATACATTGCTAAATCTGGGATTAAAAAATTAATCTCAGGAATGATAATAATGAAAATATAATCGATTGTCTCAGAAACTAATGTTGTTCCTGGGAAGGAAATCTGCTTTCTTTACATGGTCTGGCATAAGTGTAATCCAGGTCCACAGAAATGTGGTTGACTCTCAACAGCCATATTAAGATACTCAGTTCAAGAACAATTTGAGGTGACCTTGCATGATCTTGTGCTTATTGTTTCCTATTGGCAAATGACGTTAGCTATTTTGCAGAATACTTGAAAGCAAAACATGGGTAACGAATATGGATCTGGACAAGCAAAGTCAGCCACTGATTCAAATCCCTAAGCTCTATCATGTTTCAGGTGAGCTGGGAGGTAATGTACTGCTCAGCCCTGGTGAACAGTGTCATCAACCTGTTTTATACAGATTGTACTGCAGACGGGGAGATGTGGTTGAAAGGAGCAATTTCACATCTACTGGCAAAATTTGTCTTTCTGGTCCAGAAGGCAGCAGGTCTATTGCAGGATGTTCCAGAAATTATGAAAACCTGGAGGAACGCATCTTCCTGAGCTCTCCTCTTATGACTCATGCCCTGTATAATCTGTGCATTGGGTATTCTAATCAGATAAAGTACAGAAAGCATAGTGCAGCTGATGAAGAAATAAAGTGGTAGTGTAGCAAGTGCAAAATACTTAGGAGAACCAGGTGATTTCAGATCTTATATTCCCAAAGCTTTATAATATGTTGATTTCCTTTACCTTAATTTCTAGGTCTTTGTTAAGATTGATTGCTATGACCTAATCAAAAAATAGTACTGTAGTTTGTGACTAGCAGAATGATAGCAGGCAAACAGAAAGGATATAGTTTTTCTTTTCTCTATTATGAGAAAGTAATAAGCTAAAAATTAGAAGTTCTCCTGCAAAATCAAACATCAACACAATCTAATGGTTTACTTACTGGAAACTTACTCTGCACTAACAACTGAATATTACTGGTTCTGAGACATTAACCCAATCAAGTCTGTCACAATGTTTTGGTTAAAATAGAATCCAGCTCACAATAGCACAATTTAAATATATTAACAAATATGCTAACTGCCTGTGGAGAATGCCAGCTTCAAATCCAAGGGTGCATGATTAAAACTAACTGTAGAAAGGAAGTCATAGGGAATGAAGTGGTAGTTTCAAGTCTTCCTACTCCAGAGGAGTTTCATAACATGTCTGAGCAAGTCGATTTAAAAAAAAAAATATCTACAACTGTTATTACAACCGCAATTTCATCAGTCAGAATTAATATCAGACATTTAGTCACTGCGGTTATCAAATACCCCCTCACATTGTAATCATGTGATGTCCAAGACCCAGAAGTAAGGAACAGCACTTCTCAATTTTTTTTCAAATTAGAGGATCAAAGTCACTTTCCTCAGCAATGCGGCATACTTTTTATCACAGATGAAGGTCAATATGAACACTGGCTACAACAAACAGATTAGTCAATTATCTGTTATTTCAGAAATCCTCCAAGAAATGTACCTTAAAGGTTTTTTGTCCTAGTAATGGATTACTTATGCATTAATATCACAAACAGGTAATATTAACTCGCACCTGTAGGTTTAAGTGTGCTATAAGACGTTCATTACTTTTGCTTTTAGCTTCTAGAGAGATAACATCATGAGGACGACCACCTTCCAGAGTCCGGTTCAAGCGTTCTATTTCCTCATCTCTTAATTCAATCTGTAAAAGAATGGTCATTGAGAAAAGGAGGAAAGTGATTAGGATGAAAATAAACATTTTATGTATCAATGCACGAAAGAATAATGAATTGAAGGAGTCAACATGATGGTCTCTGGAAACTCTTATATCACTGCATATACAAATGATAAAAACTCACATGCACTGAGGTTGAAGTTAACATGCAGACTCTGAATACAAATAATCTGAACGAAAGACTCTTAATAAAGATTGATTGATTGACTTATTGTCATGTGTACCTAAGTACAGTCAAAAGCTTTGTTTATAAGCAGTACAGGCAGATCATAGTAAGCAAGGATGTACAGATCAGAAATAACAGTGTGGAGCTGAAGGAACACAGCAGGCCGGGCAGCATCAGAGGAACAGGAAAGCTGACGTTTCGGAAGGGTCCCGACCCAAAATGTCAGCTTTCCTGCTCCTCTGATGCTGCCTGGCCTGCTGTGTTCCTCCAGCTCCACACTGTTATTTCAGACTCTAGCATTGGCAGTTCTCACTATCTGCGTACAGATCAGAAGTTCTTCAAAAAAAACTTATACAGAGGCATACAGGTTACATTGCACGGAGCATGCGCCATGCGAGATTAACGTTAACAGGATCAGCATTATTTGAAGTTAGAGAGTCCATTTATCAGTCTAATAACGGCTGAGAAGAAGCTGTTCCTGAACCTGTTCGTGCATGTGTTTAATTTTAAGTATCTTCTGCCTGATGGAAGAGGTTGCAGGAGGTCATTACTGGGGTGCGAAGGATCTCTGATGATGTTGGCAGCCTTTCCGTGGCAGCGAGCCATGTAAATGGAGTCCATGGATGGAAGGTTGGCTTTTGTGATGGTCTGGGCTGTGCACACCGCCTTCTGTAGTTTTTCATGGTTCTGGGTAGAGCAGTTACCGTACCAGGCCATTATGCACCCGGACAGTATGCTTTCAATGGTACATCTGTAGAAGTTGGTGAGGGTCCTTATGGACATACCAAATTTCCTGAGCCACCTGAGGAAGAAGAGGCGTTGTTATGCCTTCTTGACCATTGCATCTACGTGGGAAGTCCAGGCCAGGTTGTTGGTTATCATCACTCCAAGGAACTTGACGCTCTTCACCCTCTCAACCTCAGCTCCATTGATGTAGTTGGGGTGTGTTCTCCTCCTTTCCTTCTATTCTTCAGTTTTGCCAACATTGAGAGAGAGGTTGTTCTCATTGCACCACATCACCAAGCCCTCTATCTCTCTTTTGTACTTTGACTCATTGTTTTTAGACATCCATCTTACTACAAGATACACAGCATTTTCATTGTTAACAGTCCTTGGCAACACACTATACAATACATCAAGATGAACAAATAATGCTATATAACAAAATATAAAATATGGGAAGTGTGTTGACACCAACATCCCGCAAAGGTGCGTGCATGTCTGGCTGTGCTTTGATTTAAAGGGACCACACAGTAAAAGCTGACAGCACAGAGAAATGAGAGGGAACATTGTACAATTCTCGGAATTTTCAACACTGGTGAGAGAGTCTCGTGATAATAGGATGCTTTTACAAAGCTTAAATCATAATTAAATCCATTTTTATAAAGTGATACAAGTGTTACATAAATTAAAACGCTTTCTATTGAAAATCTATTTGACCATTATCACTGTTAAATTTCAACATGACACTTCAATGTTGTGACAAATATTGGTAGTTATTTTGATTCATTAATGAGAAATCAAGTGAAGGCACATTTTCAGACATTCTGCCAAGCATGAACTTCTTTTCCAAAATGTAAAGAGGAAATAAGTTGCTAATGAATTTATGAAGCAGACAGGATGAGCTGCTCAAAAGACAATTATGCATTCCTTCTTCATGGAACATATGAGAGTGGAAGTAGGTAGATTGAACTTGGAAAGAAAGGCTGGCTTATTTCAACAAATAAACTTCATAAGTTCCTGAAGAGCAATTGAATATTCAGTGCATCTTATGGATATTTTTCAAAAAGCAACATTTTCCGTATTAATTTAAAATAATTAACACTGCAAAGGTGAAACAAAAGGTAATAACATTAAAAAGAAATTCATGTTTATATATTGTATTATATTTTTCACATAAGGAAACTTGTATTGTGGTCAACCTATGAAATGGGAATTTTAGTGGGAACCCAGGTCTGCTCAGCAGAAACCCACTCTCAGAGTTTCTGGTAAATTTTCTAAATCTAGAAATTATTTTCCAAATGCAGTACTCTAGATGGTGCCAAGCTGCTTGAGTGTTATTGGAGCCGTACCCATCTAGGTAAACAACAAGTATACAATTACACTCTTGACTTGAGCGTTATAAATGATTGGAAGATTTTGGGTTTTCAAGAAGCGAGTCACTTGCTGCAGAATTGCCAGCCTCTGACTAGTTCTTGGTACCACAGTATCAATATCTTTTTTTCTTAAATTTAAATTTAGTTTCATCTTGTCACCGACATATTGGAAGAATCAGCTTCGGAACTGACCACACAACTGTCCTTTGAGGAACCAAAATGCTGAGTTAAGTAACCATGGATGTACTTCAGACAGCTTTTTGTTTTATTATTGGTGAGCTAACAAATAGCTGATTGGCCTGTAGCTCTTAGACTTTCATCTGCCACCTTAGCACCCACACTACCAAGTATCAATGTTTTTATGAGTTCCTTTCAAACTCACAGTCTCTACCATCTATAAGGACAAAGGTAGAAGGAGCATGCGAACACGACCAGCTACAAGTTCCGCTCCAAGCCACACATCATTCTGACTGGAACTGTATCACATTCCTTCACTCTGCTGGATCAAAATCCTGGTACCGCCTTTCCTAAAAGCATTGTATGGGTGTGTCTATCCTGAAGACTGCAGAGGTTGAAGAAAAAAGCTGACTACCATGATCTCCATGGGAATCAGAACTGGGTAATAAATCTGGCTGAACCAGCAAAGCCTACTTTCCATGAACAAACAACATGTTGTGAAAACTGCATTAGTATCACCAAAGCCCCCACCAGCAACATCCTGGGAATTCACAATTAATTAGAATCTTAACTGGACCAGTCATACTAACACTGTGGTACCAAGAACTAGTCAGAGGCTGGCAATTCTGCAGCAAGTGACTCGCATCTTGAAAACCCAAAATCTTCCAATCATTTATAACGCTCAAGTCAAGAGTGTGATAGTATACTCTCTATTTACCTAGATGGGTATGGCTCCAATAACACTCAAGCAGCTTGGCACCATCCAGAGTAAAGCAGCTTGCTTGACTGGCACCCAAGTTAACATCTTCAACATTTACTCTCAAGTTGCAATGTGCACAACCTATAAGCTGAATGGCAGTGATTTGCTAACATTTCACTTACAGCACCTCCAATGCCATAAAGTATTACTGGTAGCCCTGATGTGGAGGTGCTTGTGTTGGATTGGGGTGGACAAAGTCAGAAGTCACGCATCACCAGATTTTAGTCCAACTGGGTTATTTGAAATCATAAGCTTTTGCAGCACTGCTCCTGGGTCAAGTGAAGTCTTTCTGTGTCGATATGAGCCATCTTCTTGGAGATCCTCTCCACTTTGAGCTGGCAGTTTGTGGTGTCGATGGTAGCCATGATGTGAAAGTGCCGGTTTTGGACTGAGGTGGACAAAGTCAGAAGTCAGATGACACCAGGTTATAGTCCAACGGGTTTGCTTGAAACCACAAGCTTTCGGAGCACTGCTCTTTACCTAACAAAGCAGCAGCGCTCTGAAAGCTTGTGATTTCAAATAAACCTGTTGGAGTATAACTTGGTGTCATCTGACTTCTGATAAAGTCTTATCCACTCAAAGTTCAAAGGCAGCATAAACATAGGAACACAAGAACCTGCAAGTCCACTCCAATCATGTTACAACATGGAGAAAGACAGCTGAACTAGCTCACCATTTCTACCTCTGTATTCACAACACAGTAAAATTAAACGACTGAAAACTCCTAAATAGTCACTGTCATGGTTCTGAACCAAACTTTTGAATAACCAGTCCCAGACTTTGCGAATAATTAATTTCCAGACACCAATTTTATATCTTAAATAAAAGACTTAACTGTTATTTACATACATAATAACTTTAGCAAAGAGAATTAACAACATGGTAAGCTGATTAATGCCTGTCCTTTAAACCCAAAACATCTGTTTTCTGCTCCCCATTCACAAAAAAGACGATAAACAAATACAGTTGATGGATAAATAAAGGAAAATAACAAATGGGCCAGATTACTTAAGTGGCTTTCACGATGCATTGTTTCAAAAGTATAAGTGTATGGACTCCTCGGCTGCTTTTCTGAAACATTGATTGGGGTCACATTCTCAGTTCACCCAGGCAAAGGCAGCAATATTTTTGACTCAGCTTTCTAATCTGTGGATTTCCAGAAATTGGTGTATCAAATTAGGCAGGGAGCGTTCAAGTCTCCACAGTCTCAGCAGAACCATTTCTCAGAAAACATAGTTCCACCCTGATAGATTCATCAGCTATTCCCGAGGCCTCAATTATAATCCAACATCTGCCATCTCCTTGAACATAGGGTCTCTTCCAGATTTTCCCGCGTACTGACCTCGTTAATAGCCAACGTCTGCTACCTTTTTAAACACCATGCTCTTCCCAGCTTTGCTGTGATGGTTGGAACCCCTTAAGAAAGAATCGGCCTACAATTAGCATTCGGGCCTGGCTCACACACAATGAAGCTTGTTTGGTTTGTTCTTTACCTTTCACCAAAAGCTGCCATATAACCCACCAGTCATTTTTAGCTCACAATTAAAACTGAAAGAAGAATAAAAATAAATTCAATGAAAGTTCAGTGATGGTTCTAACACTATGTGCTCTGACCTTTTAAATTTCTCATTTCCCTGTTAGTCTTTTGACCAATCATAAATTATTAAAATTGTAAATGTTTTTAATCTATATTAGTTTAACTGACAATAGCTAACTTATCACCCCTTACTTCAATATTTTTGCTTTTGCAACTGCACTGATGACTTACTTCCTGCTTACTGGATTATTCCTAACTTAATTCCGGAATTTATTAATGGGAAGGCAATGGCCTCGTGGTATTATTGCCAAACTATTAATCCAGAAACTCTGTTAATGTTCTTGCCACAGTAGATATTGGAATTTGAATACAATAGAAACAAAAATTTGGAATTAAGAATCTATTGATGACCATGAAACCATTGTCAATTGTCAATTGTCAGGAAAACCCATTTGGTTCACTAATGTCCTTCAGGATAGGGAATCTACCATCGTCACCTGGTCTGGCCTACATGTGACTCCAGACCCACAGCAATGTGGTTGACTCTCAACTGCCCTCTGAAATGGAGTCATTCAGTTGTACCAATCGCTGAAAAGTCTCAAAGAAATGAAACAAGATGGGTCGTCTGGCATCAACAGAGACTGGAAAAGGCAACAGCAAAAACAGGCCTGTCAACCCTGAAAAATCCTCCGTACTAACATCTGGGTCCAGTGCTAAAATTGGGAGAGCTGTTTCACAGATTAGTCAAGCAACATCCTCACACAGTCATATTCACAGAATCATACTTTACAGTTATTGTCCCAGATACCACCATCACCATCACTGGATATATCCTGTCCCACTGGCAGAACAGACCTAGCAGAGGGGGCGGCACAGTGGTATACAGTCAGGAGGGAGTTGCTCTGGGAGTCCTCAACATCGACTCCAGACCCCATGAAGTCTCGTGGCTTCAGGATAAACATGGACGAGAAATCTCCTGCTGATTACCATGTACCATCCTCCCTCAGCTTAGAAATCAGTACTCTCTACGTCGACAAACACTTTGAGGAAGCCCTCACTGAGGATGGCAAGGGCACAAAATGTACTCTGGGATTTCAATGTCCACCACTAAAAGTGGCTTGGCAACAGTATTACTGATTGAGCTAGTTGGATCCTAAAGGGCATAGCTGCTAGACTGGGTCTGCAGCTGGTGGTGAGGGAACCAACAAGACGGAAAATCATACTTGACCTCATCCTTACCAATCTGCCAGCTGCAAATGTTACTGCCCATGGCAGTATCGGTATGAGCGACCACCACACAGTCCATGTGGAGATGAAGTACCATTGAGATTAACCTCCATCGTGTTATGTGGCACTATCACCATGCTGAATGGGACAGATTTTGAACAGATCTAGCAACTCAAGGCTGAACATCCATGAGGAACAGTGGGCCATCAGCAGCAGCAGAATTGTTCATCCAGCACAATCTGTAACCTTGTGGCCCGGCATATCCCCACTCAACCATTACCGTCAAGCCAGGGGATCAACCCTGGTTCAATGGAGAGTGCAGGAGGGCATGCCAGGAGCAGCACCAAGCATACTTGAAGATGGGGCGTAGACCTAGAGAAACCATCAAACAGGACTACTTGCATGCCAAACAGCGAAAGCAGCAAGTGATAGACAGAGCTAAGTGATCCCACAACCAATGGATCATATCTGTCCTGCTACATCCAGTTGTGAATTATAGTGGATGATTAAACAACTCACTGGAGAAGGAGGCTCCACAAATATCCCCATCCGATGGAAGATCCCTGCACATTACTGCAAAAGATAGGCTGAAACATTCACAGAAGTCTTCAGCCTGAAGTGCCGAGTGGATGATCCAACTCAGTCTCCACCAGTGGTCCCCGGCATTATAGATACCAGTCTTTGGCCGATTGGATTCACTCCACGTGAAATCAAAGAAAGCAGTAGCAGCAGTGTGTACTACCTACAAGATGCACTGCAGAAATTGACCAAAGATCCTCAGACAGCACCTTCCAAACCCACGACCACTTCCATCTAGAAGGACAAGGGCAGCAGATATATGGGAACACCACCACCTCCAAGTAACTCACTATCCTGACTAGGAAATATACTGACATTCCTTCACTGCTGCTGGATCAAAATCCTGGAATTCCCTCCCTAATGGCATTGTGGGTTAACCCATAGCAGGTGGACTGCAGCGGTCCAAGACGGCAGCTCACCACCACCTTGTCAACGGCAACGATGGATGGGCGATTAGTACTGGCCAGCCAGCGACGGCCATATCCCACAAAATGAATAAAGAAAAAAATTCAGCAAAGCTACATTGTATGTATCACGCATTTACAGAACTTTGACATTAACCCCACACTGTTAGAGGATGGCTCTGCATTTAAGGTACCCCAAGTAAGGATCTGATGTCCTCTAAAAGGGGGAGAAAGTATGGACAATAACACAGTTAGATGCCAACTTACACAACACTGATGTTCCCAGCATTGTCCGACACATATCTTGCAGGCCACTCATCCTTCTCTCTGCAGGCATCACCTCACATCATTGTCTGAACATGGACTCACCCTCATCTTGCCATCTTGCACCCAACTTTTGCAGTCACCCTCCATACATTTTCTCACTTGATCATCTTCATACATTCTACCTGTCACACTTGTGGCTCTGTTTTCTCTCATTGCAAGGGGAAAGAGTGCCAAACTCTGGACAGCAGCAGAGAACTGAGGATGGATTGTAGTCATTTCCAAATTGACCAGTGTGGAGGAATAGGCACTTGACATCAGCAGGGTGGATCAGGTCATGGGCATTGAAGACGGAGAGAGGAGGGTCTCCCAAAAACCTGGTGACAACATTAAGTATCACACTGCCACTTGGCACATAACAATTATTTAGGCTGAGTTGATGTCACAACTAACTGAAATCACATGGTGTACACAGCGTAGAGTTTGAACCCTTTCCCCATATCAATAACGATTCAGGTCTTTTATCCCTTGTAAGATGAAAGAGGAGTGGAATGGAGTGAGACCATGAATTCCTCAGAAGAAGGAAAGTACTGTGGGATTGTAATGTCATATGAATCATTTGCACCACCACAACCACCAGCAGAGATGCTCACCTCAATGGATACTTCAATAGAAATATTGAAGTGACACATGCTGAAACATACAAGTTAAGCAGGATCAGAGCTGGAAACAGAATTCCCAGAGGATGCAGGTGACACCAAGTGATGATCAGTTAGACATTTACCACCCAGATAAACAAGGGCCGTTGTTCCACACGAACACCACCACCTACAATTTGCCTTGCAAATTACATATCATCCTGACTTGTAACTCTATGACTGTTTCTTCCACATTGCTGGGGTAACACCCTGGAACTCCCTTCTTAACAGCATTGTGGGTATACACAGGCTACATGGACCTCAACTGCTCAAGGAAGTGACTCACCACCAACTTCCCAAGAACAATCAGGGATGGGGAATAAATGTTGATCTTTCCCATGATGATGTCCAGATCCCAGACAAATGTATTTAAGAAAAGATAACAAGCCTTGAGAGTCATCTACAAAAGGGAAACTTGTGCATCCTGCACGAGTGCCAAGATTTCTGCCTCAGTTTACCTCCATGTAAAGAGAAGCCACCTGCATATGGTATCAGAAGTGGCAGGCAGTATGCCTGGATCAATGGTCTACTTAGTATGTCTCCTGTAAGGTAGCAGAGAAGTTGAGGCAAGCAAAGACAGGGAAAGACAGGAAAGATGGAGTAGGAGCATATCTCCTCATTTTCCCCCTTCTCATCTCTTGTTTACCCACAACAAAACTTAACTGTCCACGCCATCATTCATCCTAGACAAAGCCCCTCATGCTGCCTTCTGCCTAATGACTGGGTCTGCGTCTGCACGAAAGTAGGTGGGACAGAATTTGATGGAGCCCTCATGAGTTCCAAAATCTAGATGGCGGTTGTGAGAGGTATGTCATCCGTCAGAATAAGGAAACAAGAAACCTACTGAAGCTGTGGGGTTGCACCAAACTGGAGTATTAGTCAGTGAATGAGGAAGTTATAATAACTGTGCATGGAAATTCACTTGGACAGGGAACTGGGCATAACAATGCTCATACTTATGTTTCTTTCTTTGATTATAGGTCTTTCTTTATTTGAACTGCTCATTCTCCTGCTTCCTACCATGTCCCACATACATCCAAATTCCACTCAGTTGGTCACTTTCAGATGATGGCAAGATCAGATTAGACAACAAGGTATGGGTGTTGGATTTATGACTGTGGAAATGATTGGGAACCACTAAATACTCAGGATAGCTGAATTAAGCATTTATGACGTTGTTACAATCATCTCTATTAGTCAGGCCTGTGGCTGCAGGCTCCTCTTGCTCTTCTTGAGGATACCAACTGGCCTGCACCATCCTCTTTCTGCAGCAGACCAAAACCTTCTGGAGAACCTTTTTGGGATACTAAAGGTACACCAGATCTGTCCAGGCGTATGAGTTACATTGTTAGCAATCTAAAGCATTGCTCAATTATTGGTCATGTGGCTCCTTTTAGTCTTCTTTTGTTAATCAGCAGTAGAACTCCTTACAGGAATCATCAGCCATGTCATCAGATGAAAACTCTGACACTCTCACCTCACCTCTGGAATTCAGCCTTATTTGTCCATGTTTGAGCCAAGGCTGTACTGAGGTCAGAAGCCCTGTAGAACCCAAACTGGACATCAGTGAGCAGGCTATTGCTAAGTAAGTGCTGGTTGATAGGATTATCGATGTCACCTTCCATCACTTCATTTTAAATAAAGAAGTCAGGCATGTGGTTAAAGTATCAATAGAGATTCATTTTGCAGGCAGTGACTGTGACTCCATTATATTGAAGATGGGCCAGAAATCAGAGTTCTAAACTGGGGATTTTAATAAGGCAAGATACGATTTGGCCAGTAGACTGGGAACAAATAATTTTAGGTAAATCTGTGTCAGAGTACTGGGATATGTTCAAGAAGGAAATAGGACAATACAAAGCCAATATGTTCCAATGCATAGTGAGGGATATATAAGATTGGATAAAGAGGAAAAGGGAGGCTTATTACTGAAACAGAGGGCTCAAAACAGCAGAAGCCACAGAGGAGTTTAGAATGTGCAAGGTGGAATTTAAAACTAAACTGGGAGAGTGAAAAAGGGGCATTAAATGATAATGGCAGGTAAAATAAAGGAAAATGTTATGCCATTTTACAGGTACATGAAAGGATAAAATGATAACTCAGGAAAGATTAGAACGCAT